CCCAGCAGCACCTTCCCCCCTAAGAGTCCCACTTTGCTCCCCAGTGGCAACCTGTCCCCCAGAAGCCCCACTTTGCTCTATAGCATCACCCTCCCCCCCAGGAGCCCCACTTTGCTCCCCAGCAGCCCCCTCCCCCCCAGGAGCCCCACCCTGCTCCCCAGCATCCCCCTCCCCCCCAGGAGCCCCACATTCCCTCCCAGGAGTCTCACCCCACTCTCCAGCAGTGCCCTTCCTACTGCTGAGGGGCACATGATCACGCCCACGGTTGCCAGCAGAGTACCCAGCCCCCTGTCTACAGTGGGCTCCACTGCTACAGGGAATTTCCTCAACAGACTGGTCCCTGCAGGAACCTGGAAGCCTGGCATGCCAGGGAACATCTCCCATGTCACTGAGGGGGACAAGCCCCAGCACAGAAGCACCATCTGTCTGAGCAAGATGGACATTGTCTGGGTGATCTTGGCCATCAGTGTGCCCATCTCCTCCTGCTGTAAGTGGAGCTGCCTTTCTCCTCCCCTAGCTGCTTGCTCCCCCAGGTCCCTGTTCCCTCCATGATCCCAACCTACAACTGGACCCGAACGGCACCCCCCCCCCAAAGCAGACTGCAAATTCCTGGCCTCTAGACAATTACAGCTAGGGCAGCTAGGTGGCGCCATGGTGCATAGAGCGCCAAGCCTGAAGCCAGCGAGACTCATCTTCATGAGTGCAAATTTGGCCTCAAACTTTTACTAGCTGTGTGACTCTGGGCAAGTCACTTAACCATGTTTGCCTCAGTTTCCTCATTTGTAATGTCAGGTGGAAAAGGAAATGACAAACCACTGTGATATCTTTACCAAGAAAACCCCAAGTGGGGCCATGAAGACTCAGACATGACTGAAACAACTCAACAACAACAAAAAACAGTGACAGGGGGAGCAGATTACTACTGCTCTATCTCCTTGTTCTCTAAAAGGGCAAAACAGATAGGCTACTTCCTCACAATCCCGCCTGTCTACGGTGGTCCATGAGGTGTCCCATTCTGGTTTGGGACCTCTTCAGTTGGCAGAAAGTTCTTCCTGATACTGTGCCCAAATCTGCCACTATAACTCCTTCACCCTGACATCGTGGTCCTCATTGTACTCTCTGGAGCTCCACAGTTTTCAGGGTGACTCTCTTATCCACATGAAAGTCCTTCCACTATTTAAAGGCAGTCACTTCATCCCTTCCCACACACCCAAATAGTCTTTTTTTCCAAGGTTAAATATCCCCTTTGATCATCTCTCATGCCCTGATTTCCAGACCTTCCCCTCTTTTCCTCTAACCAAACTCTGGTTTATTGTTGGCCTCTCAAATAAGATACCAAGAAAAGGAAGGTTCTAGAAATACAGAGATAAAATGGAGGTAATTCCTGCCCTCAGGGAGCTTACAAAGTAATGGAGGAAGAAGGGGAGGGACTAAGAACATCTGGAAGGAGGTGGCGCTTGAGCTGAGCCTGGTAGAAGGCTGAGGATCCCAAAGCGGGGCAGGGAGGGAGGGTACTCTAGGTGTGGGGAGAGAAGCCAGTGATGGGACCTGGGTTTTCCATTAGAGTTAAAGGAGGGTGTTTTCGTCAGCCAGATGGCCCTATGCAGCTTTGCATCAGACACAAGAGAAATTGGGAAAGGTTTTTTTTTTTCTCCCCAGATTTCCTTCAGAAGAATAACCACACTTTTAAAAAAGAATCAGGCTGCTAAGGTTTGTCCAGTTCTTAAAACCTGATGCTTCATAAGGCTCTGTTTATCTGGTGCTTAGGCTCCCAAGCCAGTGAAAGGGTTAGTGAGGTGCTGGATTTGAACTCAGTGGACATAGGTTCAAATCCTGATTCTGCTCCCTACCACCTGGGTGACCTTAAACAAAGCATTTCCCCTCTGTCAGGTCTTAGCGTCCTCATCTGTCTGAGGAGGAGTCTGGAAAATTATTTCAAAGGGCCCTTCCAGGTCTAAATCCCATGATTAGCCCCAATGAGGCTTCACTTAGATAGGCAAAATTGTGAGGTTACCTTTGGAATGTCCAAGAAGCCCACCTTGAAAGTCTGGAGATGGGGCAGTTGTTAATAACAGGGAAAAGAATGCTTCATGTGTCTATCACCCTTGGCAATTCACAAAGGACTTTCAGCCTTTCTTTTGACCCTTAAACCAGTCCTCAAAGTAAGCAAGGCAGAGGTTGTTCTCCTGTTTGATAGATGAAGAAGGGACAGAAGGTATGAGCTAAAACCCTGTCTACTTGGGGTCTCTCCCCTGCTCCTAAATATCTTCTCTTTCACCACATTGCCCCCTCTTGGTTCCACCATCATCACCATTACTGGGTGGGATGTTAAAATAATAACAATAATAATAATAATATCAATAGCAGCAATAATGTGGGCATTATCAGACTGTCACCACCGCTGGTGGGGAGTGGTTCAGGCCCTGAATCCCTAGCTTCATTGGAAGGCCAGGTCACGCAGCTGGGCACACTGGGGCAGGCCCCTTGCAGGAGACCAAGATATGGGTCTGGGTGGGATTGCTCACTTTTTATGCCCTTTGTAGAGTGGTAGATCTTTAAAGGTGAATGCTATTTCATCTTTGTCTTTTAACACTTCCCTCCCATCCCCGGTGCCTAGCATAGTGGCTGGCACATAATAAGGGTTTAATCGGTGATTGCTCATTGATTGATTGAAGAGCCTAGCTAGCTAAAGTAGCAGCAGTCCAACCCGACAATGGAGTGCAGGGGTCCCCCTCCAACGGTTTATAAAAGCCAAAGGATGCTTTGTCTCTAGAACCTCTTTCAATGGCTCTCAGTGACACCCATTTTTCAGACATGCTCACCCTAAACTCTTGGCTAAGCAGCAGGTGAGGTGGAGTCTGCTGCCACCCTCAGGCTGATTCTCCAGCCCATCGAGCCCAGAACCTCGTTCCTTGGGTGTTCTCCCTATGCACAGGTCCAGTGCCCTACCGTAGAAAGACGGCAAGCCCTTCTGCCTGCCTCTACCTCCCCAGAGGCAATCCCAAGGAATGGAGCTATTCCTAAGAAAGACTCAGTCCTTGGGAGAAGCTTCTTATGGGAAAGCTGGATTAGCCACTTGAGAGAACAGAAGCTCCCCAATTTGCCTGTGAGAAGATTCCTCTCCCTCTGAGGGGAATTTGAGGAGGGCAGTAACTGGATTCGCTCCGTACATCTAGAGATATTCATTATTCACCTGAGATTAAAAAACCAAAACAAAACAGGGATATAGATATGGACCAGAGCTGTCACTCCAGTGGCATAAGGAGCTACCTTGACCAATGTAGATCAGCACCTTCCCTGCAACATATAATCTTAGCTGGGGCAACTAGGTGTCACACTGGCCCTGGAGTCAGGAGGACCTGAGTTCAAATTTGGCCTCAGATACTTACTAGCTGTGTGACCCTGGGCAAGGCACTTAACCTAGATTACCCACCCCAAAAAAAACATATTCTTAGCTGCCTATATACACAATAAGGATGTGTCAAGTGAGACTTGAATTCAGGTCTTCCTGGCTCTGAAGCTAGCTCTTACCAACAACTAGCTGGGTCTTCTATCTCCAAAGTTGGTGTTCTTTCCATGTAGCAACTGAGAATCAGGAAACCTGGGTCTGCTTCCAGCTGGGTCACAGTGGTGTGTGACCTTGGACACATCTCCTAGCCTCACCTATCTGGTCCTGAATATTCACCTCTGCAAATTGAAGGGGTCAGTGCTAAGGTTCTGGATTTTGTTTTTCTGAAGGAGGGAGGTCCACGAAATACAGATCCCACCCCTCGCCTCCTGCCTTTGAGTAAGATGGAAACTGCACATCTGTCTCATTAACAGGCTTTCTGCCATGATGAAGACCATGGTTCTGTTGAAGCATTAGCTGGAACAGGAAACGGAACCTGGGGTAAATAGAGTTTGTTTGCCGTAACATCGGAAATACCTCTGACACTTCTTTCTTTGTTTCCCTCTCTTCCAGGCTGTAATTCTAATAAATAATTTTAGCCAGAGCTAAGGAAAGGACTTTCTTTCCCATTTTCCAAATATCTCCTCTAACTTTCTAGTTATGATTTGTGCTTTGCCAGCCCAAACTCCCTGAACTACCTAGCCATTATGAGGGTCCTTGGCATCTCTATAGGCTCAGAGTTAAGAAGAAGCCAGATGTACTTCTGAAGCATCCTGGGGGAAAAAAGTCATTAAAGGCGCAATAAGAAAATTAGAGGTATTTTGATCAGAATCAAAGCAGATCAGAAAAGAAGGAAGAGAAATACTGCTGCAGGAAGGCGTGGTAAAGAAGCGTGGTCTCTCCTCATTCATTCATTCATTGATTCATTCATCAAACACTTATTAAGCACTTTCTTTATGCCAAGATACTTTGTCTATGCCAAAATAGAACAATATAAATACATACGAGCAAATATCAAATAAATACAAGTTAATTTCTGAGGGTTGGGAGAGGGGGATCAGGAAAGGCCTCAAATGAGAATTAGCACTTAAGCTGAGCCTTGAATGAAACCAGGGATTCTAAGCAATGGGCATGAGGATGATAGATTTAGAATTGGAAAGGATTGGGACAGCTAGGTGGTGCCATTAGTGCATAGAGCACCAGCCCTGGAGTCAGGAGGACCTGAGTTCAAGTATGACCTCAGATACTTTTTGTCTGTATGACCCTAGGCAAGTCACTTCTCCCTGATTGCCTCAAAAAAAAAAAAAAAAAAAGAATTGCGGGGGACATTGGAGGTAATCTCTTTGTTTTATAGTTGAGGAAACAGGCCCAGAGGGTGACTGGCCCAGTCTTGCACAGTTAATAAATAGCAGAACCAGAATTCAAACCCAAGCCCTCTGATTCCAACTCCAACAGTATTTTTCACAGACTTTCAAGTCCTTTGATACAAACTATCAGAGCTGCCTTTTCCTCCTTCCTGCTTTACCCCACCAACAACTACCCTTCCTGAAACAGTTCAGAACCTTGACTAGTCGCTCCAATTTGCTGCGGCCTGGTGACTGCCCTAGTGCTTTATCTCCAGGCAGCCTCGCTCCCCTAAGTGTTCAGCTGCTCCCTATCAAAAAGTCCCTGGAGAAACCTCAGGCAGGGTGTTGAAGATCTCATTGGGACTTCTTGTGGGTCCCGAGGATCTCATTTCTTTCTGAGCATCTCCCAGGTCTCTTGAAGCAGCTTGGATTCTGAGGTTCTTGCCAGTGTAGTTTGGACTGGAGCGGTCAGGTCTCCATGCTTATTCTGGTCCAAACCTGCCCCGAGGGAAGACCGGGGGCGGAGCTGGAAATTAGAACGTGACCACTTGAACCTGTTGGTTCACAAGCAGTTTGGTTCATCTTTCCAACCTCCAGCTCACCTAAGTGCAACACGGACTGTGTTGAGCTTCCCCAATAGGCCTAAATAAGATTTGTTGGGGGGGGGGAGGGGGGGGGGACATGCCATGAAAGGCCTGTTCTGGAAAACCACAGGTGAACCTTTTCCTTCAGCAACCACAAGCCACGTATTTCCAACTGAAACAGCCTGGTTGCACCCCCATCTCTGTCCCAGGTAATGGGCCCTACTTCATAGTGGCTTGATGAGTCTTGCTTAATTAATATCAGTGAATGATTAATGTCCTGGGATATGCTCAGGGTGCGCATCCCTGGGCAGGATCATCTCTGTTGGGCTTAGACTGGAGATGTTCATCATCATTTAGCTCCCAGGCACATACACAGAGACTCCAAAGGACTTTCCACCAGGATTATCATGGGACTATAGAGTGGGAAGGGACTTTAGAGGCCATAAACTCCAACACTCTTATCTGTAACAGGAGGAAACCAAGGCTGAGGCAGGTAAAGTGATTTGCCCAGAGTCACACAGCTAGTAAGTATTTGAGGCAGGATTTTAACTTGGGTCTTCCTGACTCCAAGTCCAGTGCTTGGTGTACTACGGTACCACTTAGTTTCCCCTAAAGGAGCTCTCCTGACATGACCAGATTCTTACTTTCTGTCTCTCTCTGTCTCTTTACAGCCGTCTTGCTGACGGTGTGTTGCATGAGAAGGAAGAAGAAAACATCAAACCCAGAAAACAACCTGAGTTATTGGAACAATGCTATCACCATGGACTACTTCAATAGGCATGCTGTGGAGCTGCCCAGGGAGATCCAGTCCCTGGAAACTTCTGAGGTACTGGGTCCAGCTGGGGGAATGGTGATTCAGGTCTAGTCTTGGGAGTGACTCTGGGACACCTCCAATGTTGCATCACAGCATGGAGGTAAAGGACCTTGAGTTCTCAAAGGCCAAGCCAGTCATGTGAGCAAATGCTAGTCATCCTCTTCAAGCGAGGTTTTGAGTCACATGGTCGGACATGGCCAACATGTTGGCTCTTTTCTTCTTGATTGAACTTCATTGTTACAAGAGAGGATACTATAGAAGGAAGGGGATAAGTGTAAATGATTAGGAAGTGACGACAAGATTTCTTTGTAAAACATTACAACAGGTATGGGTACAGTGGCAAGAAAGGAAGGAAGAAAGAAAGAATGAGAAAGGAAGGAAGGAAACAAAGAGAAAGGAAGAAAGGGAGGGAAAGAAAAAGATAAAAGGAGGAAAGAGAAGGAAAAGAAAGAAAAAGAATGAAAGAAGGAAGAGAAAGAGAACAAAAAGGATGGAAAGTCTGCCAAGTAATGGACTCACTGTCATCAGAAGGGCAGCCTAGCTAGGTTCAGGATAGCTTTTCACCAGAGTTGGACGTTTGGTGATGAGGTTTTTTGACCATCATAATGCATAATACTAAAAAGTCAGGGTTTGTGCTAAGCATTGGCAGAGGGAGTATCCATGCCAATGAAGTCCCACATCCTGAAAGTACAGGCATACTTTGGAGATATTATGGGTTCTGTTCCAGACCACTGCAATAAAGTGAATATTGCAATAAAGTGAGTCACACAAACTTTTTGGTTTCCCAGTGTGCATAAAAGTTATGTTTACACTATACTATAGTCTATTAAATGTGCAATAGTATTATGCCTTTAAAAAATGGACTTGCCTTAATTTTAAAATACTTTACTACTAAAAAAAAAATACTAGCTACCATCTGAGCCTTCAGCAAGTCATAGTCTCTGCTAGTGAAGGGTCTTGCCTCGATGTTGATGGCTGCTCACTGATCAGGGTAATGGTGGCTGAAGGTTGGAGTGGCGGCTGTGGCAATTTCTTAAAATAAGATTTGGAAGTTTGATGCATGAATTGGCCCTTTCACTTGAACATTTAGAGACCGTTGTCAGGTTACTAACTGGCTTAATATCAATACTGTTGTGTCTCAGGGAATAGGGAGGCCTGAGGAGAGGGAGAGAAGCAGTCAGGACACACACATTTATCAATTAAGTTTGCTGTCTTATATGGGTGTGGTTCATGTTGCCCCAAAATAATTACAATAGTAACATTAGAGATCACTGTTCATAGATCACCATAACGGATATAATAATAATAATGAAAAAGTTTGAAACATTGTGAGAATTACCAAAATTTGACACAAAGACATGATATGAGCACGTGCTGTTGGAAAAATGGTGCCAGTAGACTTGCTCAACTCAGGGTTGCCACAAACCACAAAAAAAAAATCACAATATCTGCTAAGTGCAATGAAATGAGGTATGCCTGTATTGAAATCTGGGGATCAGACGAAAAGGAGAGACCTCAGGAGCCCATTAAGTTCAGTTCTCTGCCTCTGGATGGATCATAACCAAGTCTTGAAAACCTTGTTTAGCTGGTGTGCTACACTACAAAGCCGTGGCCACAAAACCCATAAGATGAGTAGGCAAATCATTGGCAGAACCCTGATGGAATTGTCCATGTGCTTCATCCTACACCAGGGAAGGAAAAAGCAATGTAAGGGCTAGCTATCCTGGATCTGAGTAAGGGATGACTTCCCAAAAGTACTTCCACAAATCTATGCCCGACCTCTGAGCAGGCCTATATTTTTATAAAATACATTAAAAATCATATGTAATTCAATGTAAGAATATCCTATGTCTAAAAGAAATTAGAGTGAAAATGCCATCTGCTTTTAAAAGGGAACGTGCTTTTTGGCCACATTAAGAGAGGTGCAGCCTCCAGGGCTAGACATGATGGTACTGCTCTCCTCTGCCCTGAGCAGACCACGTCTGAAGTCTTGGGTTCCCTCTTGGCTGCCACATTTTAGGAAGGACATGGATCAGCTAGAACAGGTCAATAGGAGGGCAGCCAAGACAGTGAAGGTCCTTGGGTTCCTGCTGTGTGAGCACTTGGGATGGTTAGCTCTGGGGAAGAGAAGACAAGGAGAAAGTAAGAAGTTGAAAGTGTGCTTTCAACTATTTGAAGGATTGTGAAGGAAAAAAAAAGAATTACTCTTATTCTCTTTGGTCCCAGAGGACCAAATTAAAAGAAGTGGGTCATTTAGTCAGTCAACAAATGTTAAGCACCTACTATGTGCTAGGCACTATGCCGAGCCTTGGGGATCCAAAGAAAGGCCAAAGATAGTTCTTGATCTCAAAGAGCTCCCAGTCTAATTGGGGACAACATGCAAGCAACTGTGTGCAGATAAACAACATACAGGATAAATTGGAAATATTCAATAGGATGAAGGCATTAAAATTGAGCAGAATGTCAATGAGAAAGAACTCATGCACAAGATCCTTCAAAGCCCTCAGATCACATAGACCATATCCCATCTCAAGGGTGATCCTAAAAAGGTTCCTTTTTAAACTCACTCTGCCTTCACCCCAGATTTTACCTGGAAAATCTCCCAATAATTTCATGTCTAGGTTTTCACAAATGGGTAACAGGAGTCCCCAGTGCCCTGCAAGCACGCTTTCCAATGCATCGCAGGTATTGGAGAGCCTTCCAATCTCCAACTTCCAAAATGGGGAGTTATTCACAACTCCCAAGGCCAGTGCTGCCCAAAAATTTCCTTTTCCCTTCTAGAAGGCTAAATTCTAGGATCACACTGCCTAGGAAATCATACCCCTCCCCACTTACTTATACAAGAAGTTGGGGTCCATGAATACTGTTCCTAAATTTCCTTCTCTAGCCAAGTATGCAAGTCTGTGGCTGCTTATACCACGTTCTTCTGCAAGAACTCTGTCCTGGCCCTGGCTGCTACCATCTCCTGGCCTGGGAAAGTCCATCACAGGCCACTGATCTCTGACTTGTGCTTCAAAGGGGAATTAGGCAGAAGGTGGCCAAGGGTTTAAGATCCAGGAACTGCCCTCTCAGACTTCCTAGACAAGCACATGATGCCTACCAATGGCTTCTGCCATAAGTCACCATTAACTTCCTCTCCTTCCCATCCTCTCAAGAAGAAGAAAGCTGCAAGGGAAAGATGAGGGAAGGAATGAGCAGTTCTACCAGGTTATCTTTATAATTTGGCCAAAAGGGATGTCCCCTCCCACAGGAACCCATCTTCACAAGAGTTCTAGGCACCAGATTCATCTCGGGGGCAGCCCAATCACTGGACATCAGTCAAGACTCCATCCACTAGAAACTAATTAGAAGTTGTCTGTGTCCGCTTAACACATGCTGATGGACATACCCATAGTCCATATGGGAAGAGTTATGCTTGTATATGCATACTCTGTAAAGGGAAAGGCATGCTGATGAAATCAATCAGGGAGAAATTATCCAGTCAGCTCCACTCCAAAGACAAATTAAGGCTTGATGGAAAAAGAAACTTCCAGATGATTAGAGCTTCCCCAGAGTGGGCAGTGTTACCTCTGTAAAGTGAGGTATTCCTGGGGCAGCTATAGAGCACCGGCCCTGAAGTCAGGAGGACCTGAGTTCAAATCCGGCCTCAGACCAAACACTTGATACTTACTAGCTGTGTGACCCTGGGCAAGTCACTTAACCCCAATTGCCTAAAAAAAAAAAAAATTAAAAAAAAAAGAGAGGTATTCCCCCTCCCAGGTGGTCTTTAAGCAAAGGCTGAATGACCACTTTTCAGGTTCTGGTAAGGGTTGGACCATGTGACTCCTGAGGTCCCGTCCAGCTCTGTGATTCTGTGACAGCTCACAAAGTGGATGGACCACATGAGCTGTGTGTGCACGCAGGTGTGCGCACGCACACACATTTTGCTGGTGCAAAATATAGGTGACTCATTTGTATAAAACCTACCTAGCCTCAATTGAATGTCCTTTTTCAGTATAAACATATATTTCCTTTCAAAGAGCTCTCATTTTAGAGGTGCAGCCTACATATAGGGGTGCCACTTACAATTGCACCAATCTGGCACTTCAGCTTGTTTATATCCAGATCTCCTTTGTACTCAGAATTATTCACTTACTCTTTCCCATTTAAGCTGCCAATTTTATGGCTTGCCAAAAGCTTCTCCAAAACAGATTTTTATAGTGGCATTTAAATCTGGTATCTTACTCTCCTGCTGTGTTGACGAACCTCCCATCTCGGCACACTCAGCCCTCCACCAGAAGGGAATTGAGAGAGAAACTAATTGAGGAAAGGACATGGAAAATCAGACTGCCTGAAATATGCTTGGAACTTGGAGTCCTTTTTCCTCTTTCCCTCCCTGCTTTCCTCCCTATGCAATATGCTCTAGTGAATATCCACTTTACCTATGTCTTTATAGTACTAACCCATTCACAAACTTCCAGGTTCTAAATAGTTCCTTCCTAATTAGTGGGAAAGAGGGAATTCAGCAGGTGGGGAGGGGCAAAGCATATTCTTTATCTGGGTACTGTGGCCTCAGGTGTGCCTTTCTCTCCCCCTAATTCCAAAATAAATCTTTGGGAAAAGTTAATTTAATCTTTGAAAATAAATTGTAAGCACTCCTCCTCTTATGTCATTCATCTTTCTCTATCCTCTTTTCTCCCTTCCCCTTTCCTTCACTCTCTATCCTTTTCTTCTCTTTCTGTCTCTTCTCTCCCTTTTCTTTTTCTCTTCTCTCTCCCCTCCCTTTATCTCCTCTCTCTCCCTTCTCCATTTCTCTACTCGTTCTACTCTCCTTCCCTCCTCTCTGCCCTTCTCTAATCTCCCTCCTCTCCCCTTTTTCCTCACACTCCTTTCTGCCACACATATACCAATACATGTCCCCAGTTTGGCCTTAACGAGGAAGCACCGTTGAGATAGGGGCTCTACCTTTCATGTTGTTGGTGCAACGTCATTAGTTTTTTATCATTGCTCTCACTTGGCACCGTAGCTTGTACGTAGTAGGCTGAGTAAATGTTGGTTGAATTGTCAGCTACTAGCAGTGATGACAACAATAATCACAAAGATTGCAAGTTCTTTAAATGTCACCTCCATATTGAGGAATCCCAGCAACAACTCCCTCCCCACCACCATCATCTTGTCCAAAGCCCTACTAGTAGTTTCAGGGGTCTCTCTTGCCAGTCCATAGCTTATGTCAGAATTGAGACTGGCTGTGACTTGCTAGTAAGTTTCTGGGGGTGAATTTGAATCCAGGACTTCCTGGCTCAAGTCTGATGATCTCTGCTCACTCTGCTGTTCTGCCTCTCTCATGCCCTTTCCTGTCATTTTTTTCCCCTAGGACCAGCTCTCTGAGCCCCGCTCTCCAGCCAACGGAGATTACAGAGGCAGTGGGATTGTTCTTGTCAATCCCTTCTGTCAAGAAACGCTGTTTGTAGGAAATGACCAAGTGTCTGAGATCTAACCTGCACCAGCCCGCTCGCGTTACAATTCTGTGCTTTCCGTCTCTAAATTATAAATACATACATATATTATAAATATAACCTTTGTGTAACCCTGACTTCATGATAAACATTTTCAGCTTTTTTTTCCTAAAAATTGTCAACATCTTTTTTACAAGTGTGGTTGAAAAGAAAACTTTACAGAATGACCTGTGGCTTTCTAAAATAAAGGTATTTCTAAGCAAAATGGTCATGCCAATTGCTTCTCTTGGTATCTGTCCTCAGAGTTATGTGAGGGAAATTATTTTCATAAGACTCTCAAGTCAAGTAAGTTGCCTGACCTCCAGCCTGTGTCTGATTTATCCATATTCCTGATACAGTCAATACTATTGCCATTCATGTGGTCCATAGGGACCAATCCCCTCTCATCTCAACCTGTTCTCACATTTCCTAATGTTCCTTACATGCCCCAGAGAGAGAACCAAGATCATTTGGATGTAAAGGGTGACCATATTCACAAAGCAGACAGTGGGGAGATGGGCCATAGGATCACAAAATTAAAGCTGAAATGGACCTTAGACGTTATCAGTCCCAACTCTGTCATTTTACAGATGAGGAAACTGAGGCCCAGAGTGATTGAATGATTTGCCCAGGGTGTGATAAATAGTCAATGGCAGAGCTATCCAAAGAACCCAGGATCAAGGACTGCAAAATCCAATTCTCATCATACTATGCTGGGCTGCCTCCCAGTAACCCCCTCCAAGATATTTCTCTAGGGCAGTTAGCTGTCCAGACTATTCTGTAACTTCAAAGAACCTCCCATTTGCTATGAAGCAAAATTCTGTCTAAGCTCTTGAAACTTGGTCAAGGAAGCATAGTTATGGAAGACTCCTCATAAGTCAATTCAGCTTATGAGAAACTCAGAAGACACAGCACCAAGAGATGGCATGCTGTAATGAGAAAAGGGGAAAAAAGTGGATTTGGAGTCAAAAGACTTGAGTTCAAATCCTGTTTCTTCAACTTACTGCCTGCATCCCTGGATAAGTTACTTCATCTCTCTGGGTCTCAGTTTTCCCCATCTACAAAATAAGAGATTTGCTCTAGTTGGTATTAAGAGCCCTTTCAGCCCTGAATCCTGTGACAATACCATATGCCATAGAACTGTATAATGAAAATGTTTTTGGTTGTCATAAAAACACTTTGTCTTTAGCTACTTCTCTCCCGTTAGTAACTGTGAACTTTTAGATGGGAGGAAACTTGTGTCAGGATTGCCATCCAACTTTCTAAGAAGGGTAAACCATTTGTTGTGCCCAAAAGAATACTTAGAACATAGTTGGTAATCAAATGTTTTGTAGGCTTTTTAATTATGAAAAATTATATGGGCACACGGCTACTCCTGAATTCCCCTGAAGCAAGCTACCATCCTCCTGCAATCTTAAAAAGAATTACATTTCCAAGGCAAATCATTTAGGAGAAAATGCCAAGTAAATTCCTGCTACACACTTTGGAATAAGACTCCACAAACCCAAATCACCATCCCTCTTGGATTTTCCCAGGAATCCCAGGCTCTTTTCCATCCAAAACCTCTGAATGTTTTAGTCACTGTTGAGTACCCCAACCCTTGCACCACCAACCACCCACACCACGCACCACCAAATAAGTGACTCAGGAAGGACTCTTAAGGAGGGGTCACTTTTCTTTCCTTCACTAATTATCTAGATCCTCGAGAAAGAATATTTTGACCTTGTGATCAACAATGAGGTGGGTAGCTAGACCACAGAAGTCTCTAAGGTTCCTTCCAAAATTCTGTAACCCAGAAGACTTAGAGTTTAAATTAAGTGAGGCAAGATTAAATTACAGAATTCCAATCCAGTATTTATCATTTGATAAATGATTTTTTAAAATAGAATATATTTTGAATATAAGTGTTATTGCAATTTGATGGGGGAATCCAATAATTATTGCTTCATCTACTTGTGTCATTGCATTAGGCTCTGTACCATGATTTTTTTTCCTCTTTCCTCTTCCATTTCCTTTGAAGAAAAAGATGGCCCTCAATGTGTGTGTCTTCCCTGTTGTATGAGCCTACCTGTGTGAGTTATTTTGTCATCTACTCTGAAGACTTTACTTACCCACTAGGGGAACTGTGGCTTAGGGAACCATTATTACTTGTCTCTGCTGTTGGGTTTTTTTTTTAACCTAAACATAGCATTTCTGTTAGCCTACTGTGCTTAGCATACTGATGTGTGTATATATAGAGATACATATGTAAAGTAAATCTATATATAATATATGTAATCAAAGATGCATATGTTATATATATATATGAACGTATAACCTATTTTTCTTGATCTATAATATTCAGCTACTATGTATATACAAATAAATGTATTTTATTAGCCAGAGGCTTAAGTTCCTAACACCTTTTGCCTTTCTGTTTGTTTTTAAATAACTCATTAACTCATAAATTAACATCAGTATCATGCTCATGTCCAATGGATTGCCATGAATGCCAAAGGAGGGGTATTCCTATTTGAGGTAAAACGTTGGACTACGTGCCCTCTGATGTCCCCTCTCTAAGAATCTGTAGTTGTTGGATTTTAAATATAGTTTGAAACTGGGTAGGATTTCGTAGGTGGGCTAAGCTTGGATTGTTAAGACTTGATCATTTATCAAAATACAATGAGGTCTTAACAAGTTTCAGCTACCTGCACTTCACTCCAAGTCTTTGAAGATGTTGGCACCAATTGAAGTGTGCCCTTCTTCCACCCCAGATATGAGACATTTCATATGGGGAGATATTTGGGAAAGAAAAGCACCGAGTTCACTTTCCTTGGGGGAGCAGGGGAGGTAAGCATCTGAAAGTGGTCAGTTCTTAAATAAATGCTAAGTCCCACCTGCCCCAACCTCCTCAGCCTTTGGGGTATTAGAGGAAATGGGGGCAAGAGTGTGGCTTCTCAACCCCCTTCTCAACAAACCTACCCTTTCCTGATACAGTCTTGGGAAGGCATCTTGATAACCCCAATTTATGCCGTGGGGGTTGCAGAAACATCTTCTCTAGGCCCCACACATGGCTAGGTTGTCTCATTAAAATAATAGCAATAATAACTCTATGGGTGGGAGAGTAGGTAGGCATACAGGTTGGTAACTGCAGATGCTTTCTCATTTTTCCATTTGTTGAACTGAGACTTTCCCCCCCATAATTTTGGTATCTTCCCTCCTTCAGATACCTTGAAAGTTGATCTTTCAATACTCTCAAAATTGCTTTCATATAAAGCATAACTCTCCTGTACATATCCTTGGATTTTTTTCCAAGTACTTGGAGAAAAATAAAACAAAAATAAAAACAATAACCTGACTCCTTAGCATGGTGGTCCAAGCACATAGGTAGCCCAAAAGTTCCTTCTCCTGCTACTCAAATAACACCTTCAGCACCATAGCCAGCGATTTGTCCTCCAAGAGCAAGGAGTATGAAATTCATCCTTAGTTCAGTTTAGGGGGAGGTGGTAAAGCCTAGCCAGGGGAATTCTGGGAGGTTCCAAGGGGAATAAAGTGGTGAGGTTAGGTTAGGTTAGAAGCTTCCCAGCTGCTTGGGGGGGTGGGGAAAGGATGCCACCCTCTGGGAGCTTCTCATTTTTCTGATTATGTGCTGAGCCCTGTTGTTTCTATGCTACAAAAGAATGGGTAGTGTTGTCAATACTCCTACAAATTTTGGTTCCCTCAGACAAAGCTAGGGTCATAGCCTGTCCCCCCAGCCCCCCACTCCCCACCACACACACACCCTTCCCTCTAGTTATGGCTCTGCTCCCTATCAGCATGGTGGTACAATAAAGGAAGCACTGGTCATGGACTCAGAAGACCTGAGTTCAAACCCCACCTCTGATGCATATTACCTATATGACCTTGGGCTAGTGCCTTAACCCCCCCCCCCTTGCCCTTGGTTTCCTCATCTATAAAATGAGGCAGTTGAACTGGATGACTTCTGAGGACCCATCCAGCCCTGGAGCCAGAATCCTATGAGTGAGCACTTTTGAGTTTTGCCAAAGGCTTTGCTCACAAGTGTTATTATGCCCATTTTATAGACCAGAAAAGTGAGGCTCAAAAAGATTAAATCACACACTTATCATTATGTAGCTATTGAGTATCTCGGGGACAATCTGAACTCAGGTCTCTTGACAACAGGACCAGCATGCTCAATGCTATACCACACTGACTCTCAATATTGAATACACATACAGGGCCAGATGCAGGAGTTTTGTTTTATTAGGATCCTAGAAATAGCTATAGAGTGTGTTAAAATGTAAATAACTAGAGAGGAGGGCACTTCCAGGTAGGGTCCGGGAAAGCTTCAAACTGGAAAACTCTCTCAACCTCCAGCCCTGATCTCACAATTCATCGATATATTTAATCAATATACCTGCCTGCCTCGGTTTTCTCAACTATAAAATGGAGATAATAATAGAACCTACCGTGCAGGGTTGTTGTGAGGATCAGATGAGAGAATTTTTGTAAAGCACATAGCCCAGTACCTGGCATATAGGAGGTGCTTAACAAATGTTTGTCTCCTTAGCTTCCAATGTAGGTGTTGAATAACAGATAAAAGGAGGAGAAAAAGGCATGTGTGAAATGGACATTCCAAAGTGCTATCAGCGGGGTGTCTAGGTGGTGCAGTGGGTAGAGCCCCAGCTCTGGAGTCAGGAAGACCTGAGTTCAAATCAGGCTTCAGACACATAAAAAAAAAACTCACTTGTTGTGTGACTCTGGGCAAGTCACTTAACCCCAATTGCCTCGCCAAAAAAAAAAAAGTGCTATCAGTAGTCCTCTAAATTGGGCGGCCCTGAGGCAAAGCTCTGGTCACCCCAGCCTAGTTACAGCTCTGCTGACATGTAACACAGAACAGTGGCTTTGGACCTCTGTTCATCTCTGATGCTCCTTACCCTGGACTAGTTATTGACCTTCCTCGGTCTAAGTTTCCTCATCTATGCAATGGGGCAGTTGGATTGTACATGGCTTCTGAGGTCCCTTCCAGCCCCAGATTCGTGACGCTCCCTCTAACCCTTCTCTCTGCTGAGCACCGTTCCCCAACACTGGGAGAACCATTGTCCATTTCTAAAAGAAGTCTCTCTAGTGGGTTGGTCTTTTCAGCCCCTAATTAGATCCCCTCCACCCCTACCTCCATCCCGCATTCTGACCAGGGCCCAGGTGGGGAGAACGAGACTCAAGGGAAAGAAGGGAAGAGAACAGGCCAAGGGGAGCTGAGGCTTGTCTAAGAGCAGGAGCAAGAACAGAAAGAAGAGGCAGCCTTGGCCTAAGGTCAACAGGGCCAAATTTGGACTCCAAGCACATCCATCCAAAGCCTATCTCTGCTCCTGACTACCTGTGTGACTTTGGGTGAGTTCCATCACCTCGCCGGTCCTCAGTAAAATAAGGGAATTGGGAAAGTGGGAGAGGCCAAAGTGATTGAGTGGAGCAGCTAGGTGGCGCCATAGTGCATAGTGCTGGGCCTGGAGTCAGCAAGACTCAGCTTCCTGAGTTCAAACCCAGCCTCAGACACTTACTAGCTGTGTGACCCTGGGCAAGTCACCAAACCCTGTTTGCCTCAATTTTCCTCATCTGTAAAATCAGCTGAAGAACAAAATGGCAAACCACCAAGAAAACCCCAAATAGGGTCACAGAGAATCAGACACCACTCAAACAACTGAACAACAACAAAAACTGGGTTTGGAGTCAGAAGCCCTGGGTTTGAATCCTGGTTCCGCTTATTTACAGCCTTTGTGACTGGTAGCCTTGGCCAACACACAACTTCCTCATTTGTAAAATAAAAGAATGGTTGGACTGGAAGATCTCTGAGCTTCCTTCTAATTGCCAGTCATAGGATCTCAGAGTCAGAGCCATCTAGTACAGCCTCTTCATTTTACAGATGAGGAAAGTGAAGCCTGGGGAAAAGAAGTGACTTGCACAAGGAAATGTGACCTAGTGGAAAGAGCACAGGCTGTTTGGAGTCAGAAAGGCTGGACTCTAACCTCAGCTCTTCCATTTACTAACTCTAGAACTTTGGTTTTGTTTTGTTTTGTTTTGTTTATTTTTAGGCAATTGGGGTTAAGTCACTTGCCCAGGGTCACACAGCTAGTAAGTGTCAAGTGTTTGGTCTGAGGCCAGATTTGAACTCAGGTCCTCCAAACTTCAGGGCCAGTGCTCTATCCACTGCGCCACCTAGCTGCCCCAAAAGCCCTCTTGTCTTACATTATTTTTTTATTTTTATTTTTATTTTTATTGTATTTTATTTTTTAGGCAATGGGGTTAAATGACTTGCCTAAGGTCACACAGCTAGTAAGTGTTTTGTGTCTGAGGGCACATTTGAACTCAGGTCCTCCTGACTCCAGGGCCAGTGCTCTATCCACTGAGCCACCTAGCTGCCCTAACTGTAGAACTTTGAAGAAGTCATGTCAGTTCTTTGGGACTCTGTTTCCTCATCTGTAAAAATGAAGGAATGGGATCAGATGGTCTCTTCCGTCTCCAGATCTATGACCCAAAGTGTCAGAGGTAGGATTTTGAACTCAGTTCCTCTGACTTCAGAGCTAGGGTTCTTGCCATGACCAGATCTATGAACCTAGAACCTTGTTTCACTAGATGTGAAAGGGCTTGGCACCCTCTACAAATGGAAAATGGGCCCATTATTTTCCATCCAAACCCAAACCCAACCTGTGTGATGTTTCTTCCCCTGTCCTCTCCCCAAAGTCAGGGGCCAGCTGTCTGGAAAAATCAGGAGGCACTGAAGCCCTGACATGGCAGAGAATGAGTGAATGGACACAACCCAGTGCCCCAGGCATGGCCTCATTGTCTGGCTGTGCAGAAGCCCGAGTCCCAGAAGCATCTCCTTTCAGCTGCCCTGAATGAGGAAGCCCGTAGAAGACCCAGAACAATGGGGCCTGGACCCTGATCTGACAACTTTCCAGAATGCCTCGTGTCAGAGGCAACAGGACCAGAGGGGGTGGAGGCAGAGGGGCTGAAAACAAAGAAACAATACCCCCTCCAACAGACCATTGCCTCATCCGGGCCAGGGGATGAGAGAAGGGAGAGGCAGTGCCGAGCAGGCTCCAGTGCCAACATGCCCTTCCCAAGGCGTCGGTCTTCATTCTTGGGGTCCCACCCCTCATCCAGCCTTGAGAGTCCAGGGGCCTCAGGCTGCCGGGTCAGTGTTGTAGGGAATAACCCGAGCAGCCTCCCCAGACCCCCAGGGGTATATGTGGGGGCAGTGCCAACCGGAGGAGTGAGCAGCCTGGGCACCCGGGTGTCCCGCCGGGCCCTGGGCATCAGCAGCGTCTTTCTGCAGGGTCTGCGGAGCTCGTCCACAGCCCTCGCTCTGAGCCCAGGACTGGACAAGAACAGGGACATCTTCTTCGAGTCCCTGAATGGCTGCATGATAGAATACATTGAGAAAGTCCGTGCCTTGGAGCAGGTGAACAGGGAGTTGGAGGAACATCTGCGGGTCTACCTGGAGAAGAAAGCCTCTAGCATCAGCAACTGGGGAACCCTACAGGAGACCTGGGAAAACATCTACCATCAGGTGAGTGAGGGCAGCTGGTGGCCCTTGGGGGCTGAAGACCAAGGCAAGGTCAGACCCCAAGAGGCTTGGGAAGGAGGGCATACCCCACCACCAACACAGCCCTTGGGGGTCTTTTACCCAGCACCCCAGGCACTGATACTGCAGTGAAGGGAAAGCTAGAGCCAAACCATCTGGGAAAAAAAAATCATCCATACACATATGAACTAATCTACATGTCTATTTTAAAAAATAATTTCTCTGATTTTATACTCTACTGCCTCACCCTCATTCAACTACATTTATTGAGAAGCAGCTCGGTGCAGTGAATAGAGAGCTGGCTTCAGAATCAGGCAGAACTGGGTTCAGATCCAACCTCTGACACCTACTGTCTGCACGACCCCGGGCAAGTCACTTAACCTCTGATAAGTCGCAGAGCAGGTACTGACCTGCACCGGTAGAGAGTTTCCTCCCTGAGAATTCCTTATACCAATAAAATCATAGGTCTGGTCTCCACCTCTCCCCCTTAAAAAATGAATTCCCATAAAGTGCATGGCTATATCGCCAATTTCCTACACCCTCCCCCTGCTATCTTCATCACAACTGTCCTAGACTATTAGAACAGCATCCTAACTGGTCTCTCTTCCTCACCAATCTATCCTTCACCAGCTCCCCAAATAAACCTTCCTAAGGCACAAGTCTGACCACATTACTCCCTTGCCCAAAATAGTTCAGATGTTGGGAAATACAAAGGCACAAATGAAATATTCTCCTCCCTCTAGGAGCCGATGCTCGCCTGGTGAGGGACAGAGCATGTGCAAAGATTAGCTAATACAAGGCAACTTAAGGAGAATGAGGACATTAACAAGTTGGGGGGGGCAGGACTGGCATGGGATGTTGAAAGGGCTAGTAGAGTTTCTGCTCACACAGCATTATTCTGAAAAAACTGGGCCTGTTGAGGAATGGTATCAAAGAAATGAATTAATTTCATTAACATAAAACAGCATTAGTACACCGTCTTTTAGGTCAGCAAGCATAGGTGGACTTACCTTAGTTTCTTCTAAGATGACCCTTCTACCTGTAGAAAAACCCAAAGCTCATCCAATCACTGTTCATGCCAGTAAGCAGCCAGATTGCTTGGGTTATTTTTTTTCAAAATTGATTATTGTTTCAATCACATATAGACACAACCTTATAATGGGCTCATCAGTCAGCAAGTATTTATCAAATCTGTAGATCCAGCCCTAATCTCCCTCTTGAATTCCAGTCACCCAGGATAAGTTGCCTATTAAATATCTCCTCCTGGATGCCCCATAGATATGTCTAACTCAACACTTCCAAAAAGGAATTCATTTTCTTTGCTCCTAAGCCCCCCACCCTTCCTCCAGATTCCTTAAACCCCCCCTTTTTTTGATTGAGAGTACCTCCATCCTCCAAGCCCTCAAACTTTATAACCACTGAGTCAGCTTCCACTCTTCCCTTTCCCTCATCCACCATATCCACTCAGTCGCTTAGTCTTTAGTGCTTCTACACCCACATCTCTCTTGCTTTTGTCCACCACCTTCTCTCTGCTCATTGGGTCACTATCCCAATTTGGGTCCTTGCTGCCAGAGGACTACAGTGACCTCCCTACTTCCTATTTCTTCCCTTTCTGATCCATCCTCTACACCAGAGGAGGCAGACTCAGCCCACACCAACACAACTCTCCAGTGCAACTTGAACCAGATGAAAATGTAATTGGGAAATGTTTAACAAAATAAATAAAAATACAATTCAACGTAGATAATGTTAATTTGTGGTTTTCTAAGTCAATTTCAGAGATCCATTTCTGTTTGAGTTTGACACCAGTATTCTGCACAACTGTCAAAATAATCTCCCTCCACACCTGTTGACTCCCTGTTGTCTACAGGATAGAGTATAAAGTCTTTGGCCTGACATCCAAGTCTGGAGCCAACTTACCTCTCCAGACTTACTTGACATTAGTGCCCCTCCCGTTCCAGCTAAACCAGACTACTTAGCTGTTCATTTATCTCATTCTGTCTCCCACCTGCAGGCATTTGTAAGTCCTAGTACCTACCCCCTCCATCATTGCCCATTAAAATGCCTCTTTCCTCAATAATCATTCAGTCAATAAGCATTTATTAAGAGCTTGCTAAGAAAAAGACAATGTGCTAAGTGCTAGAGATACAAAGGCAAAAACATGATCCTTACCTTCAGGGAGCTTACATTCAAGTACATGGCCAGGTGTTGCCTCTTTGATAAAGCTTTCCCTGAATCCTCTCCCAGAAGAAAGTGAGCTCTCTCCCCTTCGGTTTTCTTAAAACCATTTTTGCCTGAGTCTCTCCTTTGCCTTATCAAGTCTACCTAATGTTATACTGATTTCTGTTCATATCATATTCCCCCCTCCCCATTATAAATGTGTCATTTTTCCTCTTTGTATTTCCGGAAGCTAACAAGGTGCTATGAACATAGTGAACTTTGAGATGTGGAAAAGAATAAGAACGGAATGAGGTGAAATAGTATGGAAGGCGGGGGAGGGAAATGGATTAGGATGGAGTAGGATGGGGTGGAACGGAATGCAATAGAATATAACAGAATGCAATGGATTGGAATAGGAAGGAAGGGAGAAACAGATTGAGAAGGATTGCTTCCTGTCCTGGAGCATAATGAATTCAAAATCGAAATCAATCCCACTTTTAGCAGTATCCTTTGGTGTCTGTTACCTAGAAACAGGGCCAGTGACTGGGTAAGCTGAAGGGAGAGTTGGATACAAGTAATATAGAAAAAGCCTTTCCATGGTTTGTTCTTTTAACTGGAACATAGTTCTGTCCGTTGGTATGTTCAAGGAGCTCAGAAGACTTTGTAGACGTTTTCTGACCCCTCCTCAGCATCCTAACAAAGCATGTTAAGAATGGGTCAGTCCTTCCTTCCTTCTTTCTTTCTCTCCTTTCTTCCTCATCTCAAATGAATTATTTGCGAAGGGGTTTGTGAATTTTAAAGTGCTATATCAATGTTAGCTGTTATTATTCCTTCTATCCTTTCTTTCTTGCTCCGTTCTGCAGCAGACTCACCTTCCTAATTCTATTTTTCTTCGATTGGTATTAAATTCAACAAATTCAACTCAGCATTTATAAAGTGCCTACTAGTATTAGGTCCTAGAGACACAAAAATGGATTCCTGTGCACAATTCCTGCCCTGAAGGGGGTTTAACTTCCTCTGAGGGTTGGGAGGGGAACACAGCTAAGTTCAGAGCAATGGACGGTGCCAAACGTAAACTCTGATCTGCAGGACATCTATTCTACATCTCTTTGATCAAAGGGAAAGGTGACCCAGAGGACTATGGTAGGGAAATACAGGACTGAATTATACATATGTCATGGCCAACCCACAGGATGGATAAATCAGAATCATAAGTCTTAGAAAGTTGCCTAAATCTCAAAGAAGTCAAGTGACTTCCCCAGCTTGAAAGTGCCAGAGGCAAGCTCTGCACCCAATTTATCTTGATGACAAGTCTGGCACTCTCTGATCCCCCAACCAGCGCCCAGGTAATTGGGAGTTGAGTTGCTGCGTTCTCCTCTGGCTCCCTGGCATTAGCAACAACTACCAACTTACTGTGGCAATTTCAATCACGTGCGTTTCCTTTTTCCCCTAACACAAACATTTAATAAGGATGGACTTAGCAAGACTCACTTAGCTAGATATGTTGTTTACCGGCTTTCTGCCAGTTTTAAATCCATACAACAGTGTTCGAGTCCAAGCCAATTAGGAGGAAATTTGCAAGTTAAATTTCATTATCTGAGCGTATTAAGTGACTTTCCTGAAAATCCCCCCTCTCACCCTTCTGCCAGCTCTCCTGTTAGTGACAGTCACCTACAAAGAGGGGCCAGATCTTTCTGGTTTCTTGGTTCAGGAGCAAACCCTGACCAGGAAGGCAAGTTCAGTAAAATGATGATTCACAGACCTTTCTTTTCCTCTTAAAATCAAAGAAAATTACATTCTATCATGAGATCCATAGATCATCCAATCTTAGATTTCAAGCTGGAAGAGACTCAGAGGCCATTTGTCCAACACCCTCATCTTACTGATAAGGAAATTGAAAGTTGTTGTTGTTCGGTCATTTCAGCCACGTGCGACTCTTCATGACCCCGTGGACCATACTATGGGTGAGGTTTTTTTGGCAAAGATACTGGGGTGGTTTGCCATTTCCTTCTCCAATGAATTAGGGCAAGCAGAGTTATGTGACTTGCCTTGGGTTACACAGCTAGTTAGTGTCTGAGGCTGGATTTGAATTCAGGTCTTTGTGACTCCAGACCTGACTGTCTACTGAGCCAACTAGCTGCCTCTTTACTAAGTACCTACTACATGTGGAAGCACATGCTTTACAAATATCTCATTTGATCCTCAGAACAACCCTGGAAAGCAGGTCCTATTTTTGTTCCCATTTTACAGATGCGGAAACTGAAGTTAAGTGACTTGCTCAGGGTCACACAGCCAGCAGGTGTCTGTGGTCATATTTGAACTCAGGTCTTCCTGACTTTAACAGCGGTGGGAAACAGAACTGTGAAGTTAGGATTCAATCAAAGGGCCACACTCGAGGACCTAGAGGGCCACGTATGGCCTCAAGGTAGCAGGTTCCCCACCCCTGTGAGTAGACCCTGCACTCTACTCACTGTAGCGCCACCTAGCTGAAGCACAAGGAAGTTAAGTGATTTGTTCAAGATCTGTGTCAGAGGTGGGATTTGGACCCAGTGCTTCTTTCTTCCCATAACAGTAGTTGATGACCAGCTATCAGAGCGTTATACACTTCTGGCAGTATTTTTTGTTGATGATTTATTGATGCTCTTTGCTTTCTTACATCATTGTCATTTCCTAATAAATGTGTGCTCCTCCCAAAAGAACTCTCCTTTACAAAATAAACATTTAAAATAGCCCTGAATAGTGGAGAGAGCCCTGGGCCGGGAGTCAGGAAGACTTATCTTCCTGAGTTCAAATCCAGCTTTAGACACTTCCCAGCTGTGTGACCC